AAAAAAATCCTCACGCCTCGACTCGTTATCATTCGCTTTTTCAACTCATTCATCGAAAGTTTTCTCTCGTTAGATTTCCGTATTGTGTTACGATTAATCGTAATAACTGGGGTGATGAAAAAGTGTGTGACAAATTTATTACTTTATATTATGCCTTCAATATTTCATTTATTCACGCATACTCTGAATCTAAGGTAAATTTCTTGTTATTGTCCAGTCATCTATATTACTGATACAGTTTTTTTTTCAATTTTTTTTTCGATAATATATTAAGGATTAAGTGTAGATTAAAATTGTTGAAATTTAACTTGCTACAATCTTATTACAAATAATTAGAAACGATATTTTATAGCATAGTTTTTCATTGAATAAGTTGTGTTTTATTAAAAATTATTTCGATATCATAAAAATATAAATATACAAGTATCTGTAGATACGATCTCATATCTTATGCGAGCAAATGCTCGACATTGTAAATTGTTCGCATATATCAATACTTATCTATTTCGCAACTGAGGGCTCGCGAACTGCTTTGGCAAAGAGAACTGCTGGTTAGTGTATTACCAAGGGATTTCGAGAAACACGCAACGCTTTACGTCATCCTACACAATGACAAACAACACTTGAGATTCTCTCGCTAACACATACACACGTATAATTTCTATATTCATTATAATCGAATATTATTAAAATTTCAATAACTTTGACGTTTAACAAAGTTGAATAATAGTTGTTTTATCTTAATTCATCGTCACTTATTTTATATCTTTTATAAATAAATGTTAATGAAAATAATATTATCTGCTTATTATGAAAAGTATGCGACAAACCGTGCCCATCCCGCATTAGTAAAAACAAGGAACCGATAAAATTTTCGATGAATTTAAATTGATGAATGCAGAAACGATCCCAATATAAATATATCAAATGCAAGAGTTTGAGAAAAATACGTTTTCTCCATCAAAGCAATTTTTGATATAATTAACGAACAAAGTCAACATTATAATTTCTTCATAACAAACGTATCTTAGATTAATTAATATTAATTACGTGACTGTATTAAAACGAGCTTTTGAAATTGCTTATAATTGAAAAACGCAAATGTCGCACAAAATTAGATTTAAAACAATTATACATACACATTTAGGATTCGTTTGAAAATCGATTAGCATTATATTGTCTTATTTTAGATATTTCTGGCTACCGTTTCTCGCAATGGTATTTCCTCTGAGCAGTTTCGACAATAGAACAGAATGGCGAATTATGTCATCGCCGAAATGATTCTTCTCTGCAAACTCAGTTAGAACCTAGCAAAAATCCAACGATCCGGGTGAGCTCTCTCTCCTTCTTTTGGTCCATACGTGTATATATATATATATATATATATATATATATACATATAAATATACGCATACACACACATACACTCAAGCATCAGAGAAAGCGGCAATGGAATACGGGGGGTTCATCATTCTTTTTTACGGCTGCGCGTACTATTTTAAAATAACAGAACAGCGTGCGCGCGTGTGTGCCTTCAAATTGGTGGCAGGCGCGCCAGATGAGACAGAGTCTCGGCAAGTAGAAAAAAGAGAGAAAGATGGAAAAAAAAAGAAGGAAAAAAGAGAGATAGGAAAACACAGGGAAAAGTAAATAACGAGCTGAACGCGGATGTTTATCGTGTGAAAATATAAAAATTTTTATTAATCCATTAATGTTTATTTGAGCTTTTACCGTGTAATTTGTCAGGCAATTTGTATTCGCATCGGAGAATTAATGAACAACCAGTAGGATGTTGATGAAATTATTCAACAATCTGGTCAATAAGAAAAAAAAAAGAAAGCACTTATGCAACAGCAGAGATAAGCTTTCTCAACGAAAAAATGTCTTGTTGGTAATTCCAATATAGAGCGAGAAAGAGAGAGAGAGAGAGAGAGAGAGAGAGAGAGAGAGAGACGAAGGAGAGGCGGCAGCAGCAGAGCGCGTAAGAAAAAGATTGAGATAATGTACGAGCAAGAGATGGTGGAACGCCGGCACATTCGCTCGGTCGAAACTTTCATAGAGACGAGCGCTGTGCCCGTGATCAATCTGAATCTCGGGTGTTGTACTCTCTAGTAGTCAGTTGATTATGACGTTCTGCCGAATACATTTGTACGCGACGATTTCGCCTGCCTGCCTAGTAATGCACAGTGGTACAAGGGAAATACTCTGATATGACAGTGATTGAGCTTTGGCAAGCGATTATTTCATTGGATTCATTTGTTAGGAGAAATAATGCGGAAAATTGGAATATTTTATAGCGTTAGTAAGCGCAGAGCTCTGTTGATTTGTTATCCGCGCGTTATTAATGAATTGCAGCCTAGTAATTCACCGAAGTACATATAAATCAAATTAGAATTGTTGTTCAAGATTCTCTCAGTGCAAATGGACTTGGTTGTTATGTATACTGAAAGCATCTTCACAAGATAAATATTATCCAAAGATGCCGTTGGCCAAGCGAACGAACGGCGATGGCATAAGGCTACGACAGCGCGGGACAGCCGCGATATCTTTAGAAATGGTCGCGAAAATCAAGCGCGTCCTTTGTAGTGACGTACGCGCGAGTAACTAGTATATATTATAACGCTGCTCGCCGCCTCATAGCCGGCGTGCGCTCTCATACAAAAATAACGATGAAATTTGGCATTGGGGCCGAACAAAAGTGCACCTACACCGACGTCATCATCGGCTATAGGTGGCGCGCGACCAACCCTGAGATCGCACCGGTCATGTGTGTGTGTGTGTGTGTGTGTGTGTATGCACATGTGCTGCGTCGACGACAAAGGGGAGCACCATAGCCTAAAGGAACCTTCCTTTTGCTCGTCTTTTTTTTTCTCTTCCACAAAACGTGCGCGTCATACGATCGGTTTAGGTTCGTCAAGTGGTCGCGCCGAGAATACAGCGCACCAGCGAGGGAGGATATAATATACAAACGACCGAGGGAGAAAGCCTGCATGAGAGTCATGGGCAACCAGCAGATTGTTCGCGAAGGGTCGCGCTTGTAGCACGTGAAAGCTGCATCATGCTACCTGGGAAAAAAGGCAAGGGACAGGTATTACTTACGCATTGTGTTGACAGACCTTCGATCAAACTTTACTCTATATAAATATCGTGTCACGTTCAGCGCTCGCGCGTAGCAATTATTTATACTGTTTTACTTTAGAAATAAACTTGAAAGGGCACGTGAAAGAAAATACAAAGTTGCATAAAGTTGCGACAACATTTGGGAGACGATGAATGTCAGCAAGAAAGGCACGAATGAGCTTGGATCACGAGGATTTTCAGAGTTAGAAATTCATGAGACCGAGGGGAGAAACAATAATTTCGTTAGGCCAGAGAGAAAGAGAGAGAGAGAGAGAGAGAGAGAGAGAGAGAGAGAGAGAGAGAGAGAGAGAGAAGAGGAGGGGGTTAGTGGGTCAAATGCAGCCATAGCCCACGTTTTCCACGAGCTCGGCAGACAAATATATATAAGGTTGGCTTGTGCGGTGCGCATCTGAGAAGAGAGAATCGAAGCCCCCTCGTCATTCTCAGTGAGTGAACACATGGCCCCACGTGAGCTGCTGCACTGTGCTCAAGCAAAGCAAAACATTTTTCATTCGATTCGCGCGCGTTCGACCTGTTGTTAATGCCGCTCGAGATATCGCGCGGCGCCAGTTAAATCGTCATTGTTCTAATTCCGTTTCGAATCGCCGCGTATACGTGCTACGTGGATTACGTAGCTACGGCCGCGTGAAATACCCGGATTATTAGCCAGCCGCTCGACCCAGCGTCTACGCCTGACTTTTATACCCGCTGATTTATTCGTTTGGTGCCATATTGGGCGTAGAGGGTTGCGATGATCAACAATAGGGGAATTCGTCCTGCACGCACTCTGCGCCGTTCACAAAAAAGAAATCACAATCGCGTCTCGTCTTATTCAATCTGATTAATTTTACTGCCTGTATTGATTTTACAGCAGATTGCCTCGTTTGTCACGATTAGTTCTGACAACAAGGCATTACGATCTTGTTCGCGCATTTACATATATTCCATCGATTCTGTTATCGCGGCGTATAATTAATCGACCATCGACAAAGCTGCGAGCATTATTGTATTCGATCGCATTCGTGAAATTAGCATTTGTGAAAAAAGCATAAGCGGCATAACGTCGTGGGAGCTAGTTGAGTGCGGGCGACCACTCCAGAGTTGCGCGTTCTCGCGATAAAACTCGAGAAGAAAAAGCGAAAACGTGCAGGAGACGGTACGCATAGGAGCGGAAGAAAAAAAATTTTATTCGCTTGGCGCCTTTCCAGCGGCTTCAATTAAATTTAGAGTACTTTAAAATGTTGTGGATTCTATGCGTCAACGTCGATTCGGGAATTCGGCCTGCCGTGTCTGTCGCGCGCGCGCACGCACGCACTCTCAGCTGCGCTGGACCAATTGATGACTCGGAATCCCGCCGCACTCCGTACAAGCAGGAGCAAGCCCCTCTCTCTTTCTCTCTCTCTCTCTCTCTCTCTCTCGCGCGCGCGCGCGTCTCCATTCATAAAAGCACACGCACGCACGCGACGCCGCGTGCATGTGCGTGCGCTCGGCTCTGCGCGCAGATCGGTCGTGGCTGTGCGTCTGCACGGATGACGTACGACGATCACATGCCAAATAACATCCAAGAGTTTGGAATGCGCGAGCGAGAGCGGTGATGTTTTGAAAGGACACGGACACGGGCAGAGGTAGGCGCGCGCGGGCGCGCGCGCTCCTAGCGATTGTCTTTTGTCGCATTCTTGTACGCGCGAAATACATCTATTGTTTTGATCGCGCGAGGCAGGAATTCGGACGGGCGCGCGGCTCTAAGTACACGAAAGAGTCAAGTTTTTGTTTTTGCCGCGGTCGTGTTTATGGAATCGGCATAGGGCACAGGGCCTGATCGAGCAGCGAGCGCCTCAGCGGAACGACAGCGATAAGCGAGCTGCGGGAAGACGACTCACCTGGCGATCGTGCTCATATCATCGTGCTGGTCGCTGATGGCCTCGACCAAAAGCGATCGGCCCCTGGGCCCGTCCTCGGGTCTCCTTAGGGCGATAATTATTACGTCTTTCTGTCACACACACTGGTCGAAGAAAGTAGGATGCGCGGATGACGAGGGCGGCTGGTGCTGCCGCGTCCCTGCGCACACGAACCAAAGTCAGCGGGGAATAACGAGAGAAAACACTGTGTACACCGAACGACCGCTCTATCGACGCGTGTTCGCGGCAGAGTCAGCGTCTCGTCGGTTGTCTCTGCGACTGGCAAGTGCACGCGAGATGCCTTCTCCGCAGGAACTGTCGCTCATTCGCTGGCTGCACGTGCGGCCGTCTGCCGTGTATCGACGTCCTCGACGGCGCGTGGCAGCGGCGGTGGGGAGGCATGTGTCGCGCACATATACACACAATCAATCGGCTGCACGGGTATAATGAGCTATGCAGGCCGAGAGCGAGCGACCGAGCAAGAGCGAGAGAGACGGCAAAGCGTCGGTGTGTGGCCAGGAGCGGCGCCGCCGACTGACTACCGCCAGCAGCGAGTAGAGTCGGCGGCAGCAGCCGAAGATTCGCCGCCGCTGCCGCAGAGAGCGAGAGAGAGAGAGAGAGAGAGCGAGAGAGAGCGAGACAGAGACAGAGAAGAATAACTTGGACGCACACGCGCGCTCGACTCCCCGTCCGCCCCCACCAGCGGCGTCCGCCGGAGAACAGCGACTCCCGCGAGTCCCCACCGCTCGACTTATCTACGCCCCCCGAGCTGCCGCCGCCGGCGCGCCGCTGACTCCGCCCAGACACTTCTTGTCGTGCGCTGCCTGCACCCACGCGCGCCAGCTTTGTCGACGTTTACCTTTGAACGACGACGACGACGACGACGACGCGCTGTGTCCTGTGCCCCGCCGCCAGTAAGCAGGGCACGGCCCAAGCCGCGCACGCGAGCATCCCCCTTTCGTCGCGACTTGCTTCGGCTCCTAGTCTTGCTCTTCTTCCCGCACGTTTCGCTTCCGGAGCCGGCGCAATTCTCTTCTCCTTTTGCCGACTGACGACTCTCTTTCTCTCTCTCTCACTCGTAGATGCAGCTACTCTTTTCTCCCTGCTCCCTTCCCTCGTCCTCTCCCGTTTTATCTGCGAGTTCTGTTTGCCAGCCAGCGACTCCGCAGGCAGCGTCTACACTTTTTTTCTCCTTCCACTGATAAGAAATAGCTTGGACCAACTTTGCAATGTCTCTCTGGCGAATACCTACTTTTTAGCTCTTGTGTAATACTGCTTTTACGTCCTGATTTATTTACGACCTGTTAATTGTTTTATTTTTCCCTATTTAGAATTATCGATGTCATAACTTTCATTTTCGTTTCTCATCTTTCGAAACGAAATTATAATAAATTATTCAGTTCAATTTCAGTTAAAAAAAACATTCGACGCGAGAAAAGCTGTCGACTCTTTAAGCATTCACTGGACATGCAATCGACTGAGAGAGTATCAGTTGTTCAAAGCACAGTGTCGTTCGTACATCTAATTAAATAATTTGATTATCATTTCGACAGACAACTGATTCGAGCAATGGGAGTCGTTTATCGAAAGTGGCATCGAAAGTCGACAGGACTACATACACGCAGGTACAGCGAAGGGAAGGAGACGGGAGGCGGCAGATCGGGCATAGCCAGCGAGCGAGCGAGCGAGCGAGACGCTCGTCATTGTTTATTGTGCCAGGGCTGCGCGCGGAGGCGGCAACGGCACCCCCGCCGCCGACCCAATGGCGCCAGGGGGGGAAGCGGCAGTCGAGCGAGCGCCAGCCAATGGGGCACGCGGCTGCGAGCTACACCCGCGCACAAATCACAATGCTCATTGTTGTCGGCGCGCGCGTACCGCTCTGCCAGTGCCGCTTTGTCGTGGGCCGCCAAGCCGAGCTGCCGCCCACACCCCTCACCTGCCAACTCGCTTACTCTCCACCTTCCTCGCACCTTCGGTCTCCATTTTACTTTTCGCTTCGGCAGCGGCTACTTGCAAAGCCAACGCTTTTTTTTCTCTCCCGCGCGCTTCGTTCGGTGCAGCTTTCTCGACGGCTTGCATATTTCACTCGTCCTCGAATATCATTTTTTTATTGAAAGTCTCACGCGTGAATGGGTTATCCCAATGAAAGTGATTCTTAAGTCGGAGAATTGAATTGATGACATCTCGTGGAATTTCTAAAGAACGCGCTGTCACTATCAAGTGTTGACACGCGGAATGTATGTCCCCAGTGGGAATTTATGTGCGAGATTTCAGCTTTACTACCGTACACTACTCCCAAAACGTTCGGGCGAGCTCTTTTGAAATTCATTTTTATTGCTTGATTATTGCCTCTCTCTCTCTCTCTCTCCTTTATCATCGATTATCCCTGAGAGGCGCTCGAACGGTATATCGTGAATGACTCGCGCGCCTTTTATTCAAATCACAATAATAGCACTATCTACATGCATACACTAGCTGATGTATGCTAATGTATTCATATATTCTCTAGATCAGACAATTACACCGAAATTCCACTTTGTAGAAATCGTCGACTTGTTACGCACACGCTGCGATGGTTTGATTAAAATAATAAACCCGAGACTTTGGGAATCCAGGATGGAAACCAAAACAACGTATTTGCACTGACGTCAACAATCAGACATTCGAGACTAGGCGGACGGCACTACAAGCATTTGAAGACTAGCCTTCATTCTATTAATGCCTAACGCTGCATACAGCCTATTGACAATCACGACATTCGCCTTTACGTACATCTTGACTTTCACATTTTACATTAAACACTCATCCACACTTGTTCTCGTGAAATCGATTTCAAAACTAGACTTACGTTCTCGGTCTGGTTTCGCCGTGAGACATCGTATGCAGTCATTGCACTTACCTGAAACATCACAATTCATTATTACGATTTAGATGATTTGCTTTCATTACTAGCAATGGCATTGTAACTGTAGAAGCACTTATTCCGATCAAGGCATTGTGGTAATTCTAGAATGAACTGCAAAAGAGAAACTACGAACGACCGATAGGGCCTCGAGCAGATGCGTTGATCGTAGGTAGGCTAGTGCGCCGATTCGCATGCCGCTAACCAAAAGCAAAAGCTTCTTGAATAACCGAACAGTCCGAGGTAAAAAAGTGAGTTATTCAAACGACATTAAATAGTAAGCTCCATTCTGCACGTGCGTGCGCGTGGAGCAAGCGCGGCAGTTTCATCGGGATTCGCTACTACGATATTCATGGCAGGAAGCGCCGAAGGCTTGCTTCTTTTGTAGCTCATCGCGACAGAGGACAAATCTCCACGCGAGCGCTCCGAACTGACCCTCGCGTATTAATAATTCAGACGCACGTACTGCCGTAGAAGGACGTAGGTATCGGGTAGCGGGCACTCGCACGCGTCGCTCCGAATCCCGTTGGCCGCGGGAGTGCGCACTTGCTGCCGAGGAGGACGCTGCCCGCGGCAGGAGGAAAGACAACGACGGCCGTCTTTCTCGGCGACTCTCCCGTTGTCTCGGATGCGCGCGCCCGCCCACGCAGCCCTCCCTCTGCGAGCTTGCGGCCGAGAGAGCTTTTCTCCTCCGTTGGCGCGCCTCGTCTCCTCCTGCGCCCCGCTCGGTCGCGCTCCTGCGGCCGAGGCCGATATCCGCGCCCCGCGGATACACTGCCGTTGTCAGCAGTCGCGAGCCGCGCCGTGCGCATGCGCCGCCCCCTTGTGTCCCTATCCGAGCTGCCTATACGTTGTACGTATGCGTGTGCCAAGGTGCATCTTGACGCCGCGGCCTGCAAGCTATGCTCCGCACCTCAATGGCCGCAGCTATTATTATTCCGACCTTTTATCCGCCTTCTCGCCAAACCTATATGCCCTAATTTCGGCTTTTACTCGCAAAGCTCATTACCGGACTAAATGCTCGGCAGCCTCCATTGGTAGCGTTTGTCTGCGCGTCTGCGACCTATTCGTGAACTTGCGCTCGCGCCGAGCCTTCAAAGTCCGCAGCTCCAAGCAAATATCTATTCAGTCCGCCGCGAGCGATGAATTCGTACAACGCGCTCGCGGAAGACCAAAAAATAATGAAAGATCGTTCGAACGGAAGAGGCGAAAGGAAGAGCAAAGGCTTATAGCGCGCGCCGAGCGAGTATAAGTGAATGAACCGCGCAATTCGGCCCGCCGCTGCTACCGCGCGCACCAGTTAAAGAAGAGAGCGAGAGAAACAAGCCTCTAAATTATGAAAGATAATGACGAAATTAGAACCCTCGGCTCTGCTCTCTCTCTCCCTCTCTTCTCTTGGCGCTAAATTGCCAGCGCGCTCGCGAGAGAGAAGGAAGAGCTGCAGGAAGGGAAATATAGAAAGCACACGCGCGAAAGGAGGGAAGCGCGCGGCGTATCTTTTTATTCTCGCGAGGTGGTCGCCGCTCTCTCCCTCTCAGCGCGCTAGTACGTTCTACCGCTGCGTATATATCGCCATGCTAGATGGCTTTCTGCTGCTACTGCTGCATTACGATGAAGCTGGTGAAAATAACTCCGCAGCTATAGCTCGCGCACGCATAGGTCAGCACGCGTCAAGCTTAGTCGCATGTTCAAAGCACTTTGCTCTCTCTTTCTCTTGTCGCAATTGCAATTTCCTCTTGTCTCGTGGGCTCAACCTTCTTTTTCTTTCTCACACGCGTTTGTGCTCTCGTTTTTTTTTTCCAGCCTAGTTTTTCGTAATTAGCTATCATCAAATACAAGAGTCTTGCGAAATGACAAAACTATGTTTCTCCGAGCCATTACTTTGCGACACACTCGCACCGAAGAAAGGTCTGTCAATCATTTTACCACGAGTATAGAAGCATTGACGAACAATCGCTCTTACAGTATTTTTACAATCTCAGGTCTCAGTCGTGGTGAATTGCAGGTTGATGATAATTAAACGTCAGTGCGTTCAACGAATAGGTCGTTTGGCCAGTTAGCAGTCTCAATAGACTTTATAGATATTGATCGAAATCTGTAGGTGGTTAAAAAAGTGAGTGTCAGAAGAATTATATAATAGAGAGGAGCGAGTGAGAGAGAGAGAGAGTAAAAGAAGCTTCGACGAGAGCGTGAATTATTATAGCGAGGCGCGCGAAATGCCAGTCGTTGGTGCTCTCGTAACTCAGTGTCGGCTCTCGCGACTACCTGCCACTTAGCTCCAGCTAATAACACGCTGCGGAAACTATTCAGCATATATGACTGTCCAATGGTATCCTCAGTCCCCCCTCCCCTTCATCTTTCTCTGTCTCTCTGAATCTCTCTCTCTCTCTCTCTCTCTTTTTCCTTCATTCTCTTTAGATTTTCTTTTCTCGATATCTTGCTCACTCTGCTCCTGCAAGATCCATCTATCTCAGCGCTCTGCAATTGCATTTTCATTCGCAGAAGCAGCTTACAACTTTGACGGGGAGACCGTGCGAAATCACGCACTACACGTGCTCCACACGGCCAATGGTATATTAAAAAGAGATAGACCTACACAGGCAGACTGGCTTCCATT